GAGGGAGGGAGGAAGGAAGGAAGGAAGGAAGGAAGGAAGGAAGGAAGGAAGGAAGGAAGGAAGGAGGCATTGATTTAAATAAAAAAAACAGTGCAGATGTTTAAAGCAAACTCACCCGTGTTATGTTCTGCACCCGGAAAAGACGGGCTACAACATCTTCATCACTTGACCGAGATATATATTCCACCTGCATGGGCCCATATTGCTGGAGACCTGGTTCTGGCCAATATTGTAAACAAGGCTAAAAAGAGAGGAACCAACAATGGCAATGAATACTTTGCACTGTAGAGATAGATTTACTTACCTAATAAGCCATAAAGTGATGCATTTGACTTGGAGTTAATATATTGTGCAAACTCAACCAGGGAGAGCAAAGGTAGAAGGGCAGATTCAGAATTTTAAGGTTGAAGGGAAAAGTTGATGCACGCTTCAGTGGATTAAACATTGCTGTTCTCCCTTCCCTTCCCCCATTAAATGTTTCTTCTCTCTCCTTCCCTAAACCTCCAAAGTTTGCCTCCACATTTAATGCACTTTGGTTATTTTACTTTGTGATTCTTCCTAACAAAGAATAATCCCTGCACTGTGGAATTTCTGTGCTGTGGAATCGAGCAACGTTTATGGTATTTTGCTTTTATGTGCAATTGTAAAACCCATCACTCCTTCCTGCACACACCCACTTCTAGTCCCTCTTTCTCTAAATGAATAAATCTCATCTGTTGGTTTTCTCTCTCTCTCGCTCTCTCTCACAGGGAAGCAATTCAATGTTATCAACATCCCCTTCAATCAAGGTTTGTTTTCAGCCAATTCCACCTAGGATACATCAGGACAAGGTTTTAATATCGCTTGGCATTAAAGTGGCAGGGAATGATGACTGATAGGAAGGACTCTTGATATTCATTCATCTGGCACAGCCAAACTGATGCATTGTCTACTTGGGGCGTTATGAATGAGATTGTTTTCAGACCAAGTTCAGTTGTAAATCTTATCCCTGTAAACATATAACCTTTTATTGAGAATAGGTATGACCCAGCAAGAGAAAATTGGTCCACCGCACTAAACCAGAAGTCACCAGATCCTTTTCCTCCAAGTTCTAATTCAAGGATTCTTCTCCTGTAACATTGTACTCCTAACTAGGGCATGCAAAACCTTTGCCAGACCAATTCTCGAATACAGCTTGTCTGCCTGAAATCCACACTGCCTGTCAGACATTAATATTATTGAGTGGGTCAAGAAGTATTTCATGAGAAGAGTACTCCTCCATTCACAATAGAATCCCTTATGCCACCAGGCTCAAAATTTTGGGCTTGGACACTCAGGAACTATACCAATTGTGGTCCAACCTAAGCACAGTACACAAAATTGTCTCCTACAATGTCCTACCTGTCAACGACTTCTTCAGCTTCAACCACAATAATACACGGGCAAACCATCGATACAAACTCAAGGTAAACCGCTCCAAACTTGATTGCAGAAAATATGACTTCAGCAACAGAGTGGTCAACGCCTGGAATGCTCTGCCTGATTCCGTTGTTACATCCTCAAACCCTCACAGCTTCAACCTTAAACTGTCTACTGGGAACCTCATCCCATTCCTAAGAGGTCCATAAAGGGGGCATGCGTAAGTGCACCAGCGTCCCTACCGTCCCCATCTATTTGTATTCATTTCCTTTGTTCATGTCCATGCTCATACTTATACCAGCTATCTTGTACATGTTTGACAAACAAACAAATAAATAAAGATCCTTGTTCCCAGGTACTAATTCAAGGATTTTCCCTCCTGTTCTTTGGAGCCAATGGATGTTTGCCTCTTTTCCTGATCGCTCTGGGGAGGCGTCTCATCTCCATGGACAGAATGGTTCTCTCTCCAGCATGAAAACTGCTACTCCTGTCCCACCAACTTCATTGCCTATGGCAACTACCAGGACGTAAATATCAACACAAAAAGTACGGTGTTTGTCACTGCACTTTCAACACAACATTCGGGCCGTCTAACAATTCAGGTTGCACTGGATGGCAAGTGCATTTAAAGAATACAGGTAGTCCTCAACTTACAACAGTTCATTTAGTGACCGTTCAAAGTTGCAACGGCACTAAAATGACTTATGACCGTTTTTCACACTTACAACTGTTGCAGCATCCCCACGTTCACGTGATCAAAATTCAGACCTTTGGCAGCTGACTCATATTTACGACACTGGCAATGGTCCAGGGTCATGTGATCCCTTTTTATGACCTTCTGGCAAGCAAACTCAATGAAAAACCAGACTCACTTAACAACTGTGGCAAGAAAGGTCTTACAGTGGGGCAAAAGTCACTGAACCAATGTCTCACTTAGCAACGGAAATGGTCAAGGACTACCTGTAGTGGATTATTAATGAAAACTATCAATCTTTGCAATTGCAATCCTATCCAAATTCAGAGCCATCATTTGGGTACTGCAACTTCTTCCTGCAAGACATGATTCAAATGAGGGAGATGTCCTCCAAACTGCCTTCCCAAAGTCGCTTGCAGATTTACTGACTGGAGTAAACGTTTAAAATGAGGCTGAAACAGCACTAGGCACACATCCCTAAAGAAGCAGGTGTCCAAAGTGATGAGCAGAATAAGATAAGATAAAGATAAAGGTTCACCTTGCACATATGCGCTAGTCACTCCTGACTCTAGGGGGCAGTGCACATCTCTGTTTCAAAGCCAAAGAGCCAGCGCTGTCAGAAGACGTCTCTGTGGTCATGTGGCCGGCATGACTAAACGCTGAAGGCGCATGGAACGCTATTACCTTCCCACCAAAGGTGGTCCCTATTTTTCTACTTGCATTTTTGCATGCTTTTGAACTGCTAGGTTGGCAGAAGCTGGGACAAGTAATGGAAGCTCACTTCATTATGCAGCACTAGGGATTCTAACCACTGAACTGCCAATCTTTCTGATTGACAAGCTTAGCGTCTTAGCCACAGAGCCATCGTACTGTACATAGTGGGAAGCATGGGGATCTGATAGGGTGGATCTAAAGCATGTTTGCACAACGTCCATATAGTTCGTCTGTTTTAATCAGCCCATTTCCTGGATCTGAATCATAAACTCATCCAAAAGGCTGAATTCGCAGAATGCGTTAAGTTGCCAAAATGCACACCAAAGTTAAAAATAACCAAACCTAGCGTGCTGTACAGACATGGGCGGAAAGTTTTTTCAACTGACTCGGTTAAAATGTGCTGCACAACTCTGACTACGAAGACCAGAGAAGAACCAAATAAGTTTCTTATGTAGGATGAAAATAGTTCTGCCTCTCTTCTCTTTTCCAGTAAAGCTGCCCCAATCCTTAGATCGCCCTGTTGCAACAGAGTTCACTGCTTGGATTTCCCTTTGTGTCAATTGCTTCCAGAGTTAATTTCACTCCTGAATAAACTCCCTTTGGCCCTGCAGTATTACTAGACCTCCTGATATGGTAGCACTGAGACGAATGTTTATTTTCCTCTCCTGTTTATTGAGCACGCAGTGGTCCCCTTTAACTCAGCCAGCAAGACTGACAAAAGAACACTCATCCTGACTCCAAGGGTGGTCCTTTAATTCATTTGCCTCCCTGATTCAGTATCCATAGTACGACAATAAGTTGGGTCATTGGCCCTGGAAGTGTCTGATCTTGACTCATAAAATCATCCATTTAATGAAGGTGTCCATTAAGAGTCTACAGTATTAATGTTGTGCTTTTCAAAAAAAAAATCAAGCAAATTAACATTATGGGCTTGTAATGGGTTCTTAAAACTGCCATGAACCCAACAAGAGTGCTTTGGAGGTTTAGGGAGGGAGACTCAAAACTTCCCAAATGCTCCACAGTTTGACGATCTAAATACATAATCTAAATACATTATCTAAATACGTAACCAGAACAAGACGACACAAGGACAGTTTTTCACCTGAATGCCATCTCTCTGCTAAACAACTAATTCCCCCAACACTGTCAAATAATTTACAAAGACTGTATTGCTATTATTCTTCTCATCCTTCCTAGTAGCTATCTCTTCCCACTTATGATTATAACCATGCTGCTTGTATATTTACAATTTATATTGTTTTATTTATTTCTTAGTATGATTTGAACTATGGTGCGGAAGAAGACTCCAGATTGTCTTGGACTGCAAGATGATCAAACCGGTCAGTCCTAGAGGAGATCAACCCTGACTGATCTTTAGAAGGCCAGATCCTGAGGATGAAACTCAAATACTTTGTCCACCTTATGAGATGGAAGGACTCACTTTAGAAGAGTCTAATTCTGGGAAAGATTGAGGGCAAAAGAAGAAGGGAGCGACAGAGAATAAGGTGGTGGGATGGAGTCACAAAATAATTTGATTGCTTATTAGTAACCTATGCCTATCACTGAGTGTTGTATCTTATGATTCTTGATGAATGTATTATATTTGATTTTTCTTTATATACACTGAGAGCATATGCACCAAAGACAAATTCCTTGTGTGCCCAATCACACTTGGCCAATAAAGAATCCTATTCTATTCTAAACCATAAGTTCCCAAAATTAAATCCATAGGATGTTTATGCCTGCTTTCATCTGGAGCCCTTAAGCATCAACTTTAAGAACTTCTCAGAAGGCATAGACATGAGTTGATGTTCAAGGGCTCCAGCATGACAAAACATTCTATGGACTTAGATTTGGGGGGGGATCTATAGATTATCCACCTACATACCGGAAGGCACCAGGTTGGAGGAGGTTGCATGATGCCAGCTAATGTCACTTAAAAGCATGCATGTGTTTCTGGCAGCAGTCCTTCCACCCATTGATTGAATGATCTCCCAGAATGGTCTTCTCTGGTCATTTAGTTGCCAGCTTCCATCTCAGTCCGCTGTGCAAACCCAATCATCTGTGATTTATTTAGCAAACCATAATGATCAGGGAAGCAGGTCAGCAAGGCCTCTTCAGCTGACTTACAATGGCCAAATACCCTTCAGCTGTGCGCCTACAAAATGATCTCAATGGTAGCCAATGGCTGGCTGTGCTTTGCCCACTTCCCTCTTTTCTTTCAAAGCAATAAATCTAGAGTGACTGGCTGTGACTGTTCTTTGCCACTGAATGCACAACTTCCACTGGCTGGAGGGCAGCAGCAGCATCTGCTCAGCATGTGGATGGCCATATTCCAAAAATTGCTCAAGCCAGACTCCATTCTTAGCTATTTAAGGAGTAGAGAAAGAAATAGTCTTACGCCTATGCTGTTTCAAGCCTTCTGCCTATAAAAGACCCAAAATCTAAACAAAAGTTTTTTTGGGGGGGAGAAAGCAAAAATGGCAACCAGTTTTTAAAATTACTTTGAGGGGATCTTGGATCTTTGGGGTGCAGGTTTTGCACCCCAAACAATCAAGGAAAGCAGAGGTGGTATTCAGCCAGTTTTGACAGGTTCTAGGGAACCGGTAGTGGAAATTTTGAGTAGTTCAGAGAACTGGCAAATAGGCTGGCCCCACCCTCACTGCCTCCCACCCTCCCAGTTGATCTTCTTTTGTTGCCCTGAACAGGAGAACGGAGCTGGAAAGCAGATTAGTGGAGTGGGGAGGGAATGGGGATTTTTCAGTAACCTTCCCCCAGGAGTGGGGAGGGAATGGGAATGTTGCAGTATCTTTCCCCTGCCACGGCCACAAAGCCACACCCACAAAGCCATGCCATGCCCACAAAGCCACACCCACAGAACCACTGAAGGAAATGTAAACTGATATAAGTTTGGCTGGAGAGTCCAGGACTTCCTCCCTTAACATGGTTAAGTTGGAGAACACTCTTAATTGCTCTTCCAATCCTACTTATCATTTGATTATTTCATCCCATCTTTTTTTTTCTTTTTTGCTCAGGGCAAAGAACTCAGAGTACCTGCTCAGTCAGCATATTTATTATTTAGATTTCTGCCTTTTCTCCAGGAACTCAAAGTAGTGTGCGTAAGTTTCTTCTCAGTACTTGTCCCATGGGAATAACTCTGTGGGGTAGGTTGATTCATTTACTTATTTAGCATACGGCGATGTGACATTAGCCAAGAGACAACAAAGCTAATGCAGAGTAGTAGTTTGGCTGCCTGAGACCGCTAGCCCTGTTTGGTTTTATGCTTATGCGCTTACCAAGGTTTGCCACAGGAGGAGTGCTATTCTGCACTAGATAGAAAGATGAGCAGCAGCATCTGGGATCCTCTCCCTCCACTAAAGTGGCCTCACAAAACAGGCATTGCAAGTAGGAAGGTCCAGCGCCAGCAGGATTCTAACCATCCACACAAAGCACTGGTATGTCTTCCCACTGAAGTGATACCTATTTATCTACTCACCTATCTACTTATCTAATCTACTTACCAGTGGTGGATTCCTACTGGTTCAGACTGGTTCAGCTGAACCAGTAGTGGTTTGGTAGCCTCGGTCGCTGGAATCGGCAGCAACCCAGGCCTGCCACGCCCACAAACCGGTTCCCATTGGCCACCTTGGTTTTTTTTTGCTTCTATGCATGTGCAGAGCAATTTTTATTGAATTGCAATGTGAGCACAGCGCACATCAAATGTGCATGCACGCTGCACGTCCAACAGCGAACCGGCAATAGTGACTGCCAGAACCCACCCTTGACTCACATATAACATGCTTTCAAACTGCAGAAGCTGAGGCAAATGTGGGATAGGTTGAACTAAGAGTGAGTGATCCCAAATTACCAGCGAGGTTTTACGCCTGAAGAGAGATCTTGAATATGGGACCCCTGTTCCTGGGGCAACGCTTTATAGATCTGGAACAAAATTAATAGTGCAATAGAGATGGTCATATGACAAGTGGGTCTCTCTCACTTACCCAGGCAGAATTGGACTGGTTGAGCTGGTTTAGCATAATGATGGAGGTGCAGCCATAGTCATATACCAACCTCCAGAAATCTGTTGTGGTGTTTTGTAGGGGGTGCAAGGTTACAATGAAAGCAGCATTCTTGGTGTAGCTCTAGAGGAGAACGAAAGAGATTGGTAAAAGCAGGTAGGAAACCAAAAACTGAAACAATTCTTCAGTGGGTATTGCGGTGTTTCTCAACCTCTCCTACTTTAGGATGGGTGGACTTCAACTCTCAGAATTCTGGGTGAAGTAAAATTTTACTAGCAATATATCTCAATCTCTTAATACCAATCATCTCAATCCTTTAATACCACATTCAAAGGGAGGGAGAAGCACATTATCTGCTCTTGGTTCTCTCTTTTTTTAAAAAAATTAGGCTGGCGTTAAGATGAACCTTACCTAATCTGACAAGGTCATTCTTCCAGGAAGTCTGCTCTCCAATCACAATTGCAACATAGTTGGTTAAAAGCATGGAACAAAAAGTATTTTAGATGACGAAGGAGAGAGCAAATATTTAGATCAGGATTTCTAACCTTGGCAACTTTAAGACCAGAGGACTACAACTTCCAAAATTGCTCAGCCAGATGAAGTCCACATATCTTAAAGCTGCCAGAGTTGAGACACCCTGGTGTAGTGTATCTTTATCTTAAAGTAAAAATTGAGAAGATGTACATCATTTAAGGTATAGTTGGCTGAGAACTAGAAAGGCTTAGCACCAAAGAACTGAGGCCTTTGAACTATGGTGTTGGAGAAAACTCCTGCGAGTCCCTTGGACTGCAAGGCAATCAAACTGGTCAGTCCTAGAGGAGCTCAACTCTGACTGCTCTTTAGAAAGCCAGATTCTGAAGAGGAAACTCAAATACCTTGGCCACCTGATGAGAAGGAAGGACTCACTTTAGAAGAGCCTAACGCTGGGAAAGATTGAGGGCAAAAGACGAAGGGGACACCAGAGAATGTGGTGGCTGGATGGAATCACCAAAGCTGTAGGCATGAGTTTAAATTGACTCCAGAGGATGGTACAGTACAGGAAGGCCTGGAGGAACGTTGTCCATGGGGTCGTGATGGGTCGGACATGACTTCACAACTAACAACAACAAAAGTACCCATGAATGGAATAGTTGCCCTCTGCTCAAATGCTTTTTGAAAATACTCTTTTTAAAGGAACGAAGGTAGAAGAAATCAGGTTCTAAGGTAGACTGAAGGACAGCCTTCCTTCACTGAGTCAGCCTAAGTCAAATCCCAATCAAATCATTTCATTTCTGTGATGATGAAAGAAAAGAACTAGGAAAAAAACATACAGATGAAATTTTTCACTCTTGACAATTCATTTTCTTTTGGAGCAGTTGCATGGTGGCAGGCTTTCAAAGTGATTGTTCCCCTTCTTCCTAGCTAGCTGCCATTTCCTTGGTTAATTGAAAGATGTGATTGATTATTTTAGGCAATGTAGCTTTCTTTGGCCCTACCCTTACCCGGAAGCTAGCGTACCGTTTGTTTGCATGACACACTGGCATAAAATAACGCAACTCAATCATATTGTCTAGACAGAGTGCAATCTACCGGGGTTTTGGTGGAGGTGATGATGTAATCAGAACTTTCTAACTCAAGAGGAAGCCAAAGGAAAGCACATGCGGCATCGCTGACACGTGACTGTATGAGACAATGTTCTGAATTAATGTAAAGCTGCTTCCAATGTTTCTCTATGTGCCGCATTGTAAGTGCCAGCAGCTCCAACAGCAGCAGATGCTGGAACTGTAATTCTGCAATATCTAGATCAGGGGTGTCTGTTGTGGCCTACCAGTGGCCAATGGAGCTGGCAGCAGATTTGGACAGTGAGGAGGTTGGGGAGAAATGGGGGCCAGTCCTGGAGTCTCTGGAAGGCTCTGATGAGGGCTCTGTGTGGGAGGCAAAGGGGGAGCTAGGACAGTATGCCAGTTATCAGCTGCCTTCAGAGTCAGACATCAGTGAGGCAGACNTGGCTGGCAAGCCCTCCCACCCAGTCACATGGCCGGCAAGCCACTCCCACTCGGTCATATGGCTGGCAAGCCACTCCCACAAAGCAGGCCACACCTACAGAAGAAGTTCGGGCGCACCAGGTACTGTTCCAGTATGATGCTGGAGGGCGCACCGGCCCGTCCACCATCCTAACCTGTATTTGAGCTCTTTGGCGCTTCTGCACACGCTGAAGTACAGCACCTGTGCGATGCTCCGCTGAGGAGCTGGAGCATTGCAGAGGCATCGCAGGAGGTAAGGATGCATGCGTACATGTGCTGCGCACGTTCATGTGGTGGACACCGGGCCCCGTTGCACCGTACCAGTTGCACTCGGATCTGGAACCCACCACTGCACCACATTATATGTCCCGGGTAGAACGGACCATCACAGATAGTCCTCAACTTACAACAGTTCATTTAGTGACCGTTCAAAGTTACGACAGTGAAAAAAGTGGCTTGTGATCATTTTTCAGTTACAACCTTTGCGGCATCCCTTGTGGTCGAATGACCAAAATTCAGGTGCTTGGCGACTGACTCATATTTATGACAATTACAGTGTCCCAGAGTCCCATGATCCCCTTTTGCGACCGTCTGATAAGCACAGTCAATGAGAAAGCCAGATTCACTTAACAACCATGTCACTAACTTAATATTTTCAGTTATTCACTTAACAATTGTGGCAAGAAATGTTAGAAAATGGAGCAAAACTCACTTAACAAATGTCTCACTTAACGACAGAAATTTTGAGCTCAATTTTGGTTGTCAGTCAAAGATTGCCTGTACTGTTTTTTGTTTGTTTGTTTTGCTCTCCTCTGCCCCACGTCCTCAAAAACGTTCTATTAAAATTCATATGTAAATGGACAATGTCATTGCAGATGTTCCAGCTAGATTAAAACATCTCTAACACAATTTAGAAAGACCATGGTTAATAGAGTACAATTTGGTGGGGGGTTAGAACCATCTATCAATTGTTTTCATCATGTATTCATGATGACCTGTCAAAATACATTTAAAATAATTTAGCAAAGAGTTCTAAGCCCTTTTCTCATACTTTAAGATTTCTGAGAGAGCCTCTTATAATTTATATAAGAGTTTTATATAATATTGGAGAATTTCCTTTGATTCTAAATCACATTAGCATTGCTAATGTTCTTCAGGGTACAAGTTCATGAGCTTAAGAATATATTTTTTAATAATTCTTTCATTCATTCGAAACTAAGTTAGAACTTGCAACAACTTCTTCTGCAAAACATATTCAGAGGAAGTAAAGTGAGTTTCAATAATCCATCTTCTAATCCTATAAAACTGTCCATCTTCCCATTCCTTGATCATATTTATCCTCATGTTTAAAATCTGGGTGATCAAGAAATGGGAAGAGAGGGGAAGGATGAAGGGAAAGAAATTGCCTCTACTTTTTCCAAATTTTGATCCAATGAGAATTGGATATATGATAGATATTAATTTCTTAATATAGAAATAGAATTACAGAGTTGGAAGGGACCTTGGAGGTCTTCTAGTCCAACCCTCTGCTCAGGCAGGAAATCCTACACCACTTCAGACAAATGGTTATCCAACATCTTCTTAAAAACCTCTAGTGTTGGAGCATTCACAACTTCTGGAGGCAAGTTGTTAAACTGATTAATTGTTCTAAGTATCAGGAAATCTCTCCTTAGTTCTAAGTTGCTTCTCTCCTTGATTAGTTTCCACCGATTGCTTCTTGTTCTACCCTCAAGTGCTTTGGAGAATAGTTTGACTCCCTCTTCTTTGTGGCAACCCCTGAGATATTGGAACACTGCTATCATGTCTCCCCTGGTCCTTCTTTAGACATACCCAGTTCCAGCAACCATTTTTTATATGTTTTAACCTCCAGTCCCCTAATCATCTTTGTTGTTCTTCTCTGCACTCTTTCTAGAGTCTCCACATCTTTTCTACATTGTGGTGACCAAAACTGGATGCAGTATTCCAAGTGTGGCCTTATCAAGCATTATAAAGTGGTATTAACACTTCACGTGATCTTGATTCTATCCCTCTGTTTATGCAGCCTAGAACTGTGTTGGCTTTTTTGGCAGCTGCTGCACACTGCTGGCTCATATTTAAATGGTTGTCTACTAGGACTCCAAGATCCCTCTCACAGTTACCATTACTGAGCAAGGTACCACATAAACTGTACCTTTGCATATCAGAGAGAGACTGTAGTGCCCAAATAGACTGAAAATCCAACACTAATTCCACTGAATATCTTTTCAGGTCTGAATACAGTGGGTTATTTATTTTAACTGAAAAGCATGAAAACGATAACTAGCTCTTCATCTTATTTTTCTGGATGGTAGTTTTTTATAATTATTTATATACAGCCACAGACTTCTACCCCCAAAAAAGCAATGAATTTATATTATCCTTTGCCATCTACAAAATCAGGTAATAGGGAAAGGATTTGCAAATACTTCAAACAAATACAATTTGATGAGAAAATAGTTTTTCTTGAGGTGGCTATAATGTTCAGTTAAATAATAATCTGGAACTATAGCAATAGCACTTAGCACTTAGACTTATATACCGCTTCACAGTGCTTTACAACCCTCTCTAAGCAGTTTACAGAGTCAGCTTATTGCCCCCAATATTCTGGGTCCTCAATTTACTGACCTCGGAAGGATGGAAGGCTGAGTCAACCTTGAGCCTGGTGAGATTCGAACTGCCAAATTGTTGGCAGCTGGTGATCAGCAGAGGTAGCCTGCCTATTGCACTCTAACCACTGCGCCACATTGGCTCTAAGGAATAATTTCCTGCTAGTTAGGACAATTAATCAGTAGAATGACTTGCCTCCAGAAGTGGTTGGGGCTCTATCACTGAGGTTTCCAAGGAGAGATTGGACAACCATTTGTCCGAAATGGTGTAAGGTTTTCTGCTTCAGCAGGGGCTGGACTAGAAGACCTCCAAAGTCCCTTCCACCCTTTGAATCTATGGCAAAGAGGTGGACTCAAATTTTGCTTTGATCTTTTACAGGAGAGGACAACAACTTTTCTAATAATTACTACTAAGTATTCAATTCAACTGGGCCACCGTGAACACCATTAGGTATTTGGGAAGATATTTTTTTTTTTTTGCAAATGTTTAATAATACAGTAGGTTGTTTACTCCATGACATTTCATTGTCGGATTATCTTTCCCATAGATTAGACTTTTCCACACTTCCCTGACCCCTAAGGGAAGACCTCAATAACTTTTCCCATGGCTCTTGTTCCAACTAGGAATTGTGCGCATACAGAGAGACTTCAACATAAAAACAAAACAAAAATGTGTGATATAAAAAAAGAGAACTAGCCATTGCATCTTCCATATTAATCTTTCAAATGCATGATGCAGTTTTGAGGGTTGGTGGAATTTTTTAATAATTTTGGAATCGGGATGATGAACGAGAGTAGACTCCATTCAGTGATGCCCAATAATGCATTGGAGAAATTTGAGATTAGTGGCTTGTCACACTTTTCTCCCATTAAAAGCATGGCATTGTGATCCTGCTCATAATAAGGCCATTTTCTGACTATAACTTTTCACATAACCCCATTAAAATGTGCATTTTCCCACATTCTGTGATGAAAATCTCTCTCTTTTTTTTGGACCAAAACAACCAACCACAAAATTAACAACTATGTTTTTTGGACATACCTGCAGTGAATAACTATGGGTCCTGCATCAGGAGGTGTAGAAGCTTTGACTCTGCGAATAAATGCCAGCAGACCCGTGGCGTGGTAGGGTACCCCGTGTTCTGGCCATGACGTGAAGTGGAACTGCTTTACTTCGTGCCTTGCTGAATAGCCCCTCTGCAAGTAATGAGAGTGAAATAGAGGACAATCTTATATGTTGTCTGGCATCAGACAAAGATACTGGGAGTTCTAGACCTGCCTTAGGCATAACCCCAGACATGTAACCTTGGGCCAGTTTCTCGGCCCTAAGAACAAAACAATAGCAAACCACTTCTGAAAATGTTGCCCAGATAATTATGTCTAATAATTACCCATGTGTTTGCCAGGAATCAAGACTGACTCGGAGGGAAGGGGAGAGAGAGAGAGAGAGAGAGAGAGAGAGAGAGAGAGAGAGAGAGAGAGAGAGNCAGCTCTCCAAGCCAGATAAAATCCGTGACTGTAAATCCTCTCTTGGAAGACTTTGCTGGATGTGATTAATCACAGTCAATTAATAAAAGGGTTTTTTTTGTCGGGAAAAGAAGTTGCTTCATGCTCTTGGGAAGCCTAGGTCAGAACAAATGGATTTGTCACCTTCCAGCGTTCACATTGAATACAAACAGCGAGTCAGTTTGTTTGGTGAAAAACTTTGCCTCTATCTAATATTAGGTGATAACCAGCACTAAGTGACTATGATACAGAGGTAAGCAAATGCAAGTCAGTAAAAGAGGAGTGAAAAGGATGTGGAGTTTGCAGGAGACAACTAGTTCGCTTAATTGGTTCATGACTCTCTGAGACTCCTTTCCAAGTTTTGCAGATATCAGCCTGGCAGCTCTCCAAGCCAGATAAGGTCTGTGACCATAAATCCTCCCCCCTTGAAAGACTTTGCTGGATGTGAATGAGCAGAATTCACAGTCAATTAATAAAAGGGTTTTTTGTCGGAACAAAAAACCCTTCATGCTCTTGGGGAGCCCAGCTCAGAACAGTGTCCAACCTTGGCAACTTTAAGACTCACGGACTTCAACTCCCAGAATTCCTCAGCCAGCATGGGTGGCTGGGGTATTCTGGGAGTTGAGGTCCACAAGTCTTAAAGTTGCCTAGGTTGGACACCACTGAGCTACAGCGGTGTTTATCAAGCTTGGAAACTGTAAGATGTGTGGAGCTGTGTGTGTTGAGATGTGTGAGGCTAAAAGAGACACAATTTGTCCGATAGATTAAATTAAAATGAGGTACAAGGGCTGGCTTCTATAGTACAGCATCAAGGCTCAGAGACATACAGAATTAACCAGGAAACCAACTATAAGAATGTTTGGATCTAAGTGCTAAATATCAAATCATCATTCACCCATACAGAAGACACAACAACTATCAATTTGATAGGAGACTATCAAATTCTATCAACTAGTGAGGTTTAGAGAGGTACTGATCAATAGTCAATTTCATTTCAATTAAGAAAAAAACCCAAATTATCTAGCTAGGTGGCTGCACTTAATCAACTGTAGCTAAACTGAGAAAATGTGATGTTGAGGAGAAGAGCCTAAATTGGCGAACAAGGGCAAGTAGATTACAGTTGACTTTTTTTTCTCCTGATAGAAGTTTCATAGTGATTTTCCCAAACCTTATTTAAAGCTTTGAGCGTTTTATATATTTGATCCTAAAACTTTGCCTCCCAAACCTTTTCTAACTTCTTGGGATTTTGTTTTCTCGCATCCAATTTTGGAACCTAACTTTACAAGCTTAACGTTAGTGTAGGAAATGCAGATGGGATTGGCCAATGACTTTCCCACCAAATTCCTGCCATCCAGAGGTGGTATTTAGCCAGTTCTGACCGGTTCGGTAGTGGAAATTTTGAGCAGTTCAGAGAATGGGCAAATAGGATGGCCCCGCCCCTGCTGCCTCCCAGCTGATCTTCTTTTGTTGCCCTGAACAGGAGAACGGAGCTGGAAAGCAGGTAAGTGGGGTGGGGAGGGAATGAGGATTTTGCAGTATCCTTCTCCTGCCACGCCCACAAAGCCACGCCCACAGAACCCACAGTAAAACATTGAATCCCACCAGTGCTGCCATCCAAGAGATGAACTCACATCAGTTAAGGCCGCGTTGATGTAGTTGTTGCTGTCTCCATCCATGGAGATCAAAAAAGGGAGGCACCGGTCTGGAGGCAGCACATCCATACTCCGATTTTTTTCGCGATTGCGTGGTAGAAGGGCAATGCTGCACTCCTCCACGTCCAGGTGGGGTGTTACAGAATTCAGAGTCTGCTGGACACGAAGAAACCAGATTAGGCAGCATTTTATAATCTTATTGGCAGGTGAAATTTAGCACCACTTAAGATATCCACTTAAGACTAAGATTAAGGGGCTGCCTAGAAACTGGGAGACTGTGAGTTCTAATCCCATTTTAGGCATAAAACCCGACTGGGTGGCTTTTGGTCAATCATCAGGAGAACGTGAGCTCTAGTCCCACCTTAGGCATGGAAGCCGGTTGGATGACTTTGCGCCAATCACCAGAAGACTGTGAGTTCTAGTCCTGCCTTAGACATGGAAGCCATCTGGATGACTTTGGGACAATTAGCAAAATCTGTGAGTTCTAGTCCTGCCTTAGGCATGGAAGCCGTCTAGACGACTTGGGGCCAATTAGCAGGAATCTGTGAGTTCTAGTCCCGCCTTAGGCATTAAAGCCAGTTGGGGACCTGGGCTAGTCACTCTCAGGCAAGCCCACTTCACAGGGTTGTTGTGCAGAAAATAAGAGGAGAAAGATGTGTTGGATATGTTTGCTACCTTGAGTTATTTATAAAAATAATACAATCAGGATACAAATGAATAAATAAAATGCTTGCTGCCTTGAGTTACTTATAAAGTAATGAAGACAGGATAAAAATCCAAATAAACATGCTCTTTATTTTAAAAGAAGAAAATCATTCAATTGCTATGTGCTCCAGGAAAAGCTGTAATTCAAAACACAAGGATGTATCTTCCAGGGTTGAACGTAAGAACAAGCCTGCTGTATCAAGTCAAGGCCTGTCTCAACCCAGCATTTGGTTTCTCCTCAGGGATCTCCAACCTTGCCACATTACGACTTGTGGACTTCAGCTCCCAGAATTCCTCAGCCAGCCATGAGGAATTCTGGGAGTTGAAGTGCACAGGTCATAAAGTGGCCAAAGTTGGAGACCCCTGAACTAGATGCTTCTGGAGGATACACAATTGCAAACATAACCTTCTCTCGCTATTTTCCTATAAATCTTCTCTCATTTATTTCACTGTAACTGTTATTTGGAATTATGCTAATGGGAACATAGGAACATGGTCAAGAGACTAGGTTTCAAGAAAACCTCCAGTTTTCAATTACTCACCTGAAATTCCTCCCGCAGCTGAGATGAATTGCTCTGTGGATCTATCCTAACCATCTCTTTGTATGTAGGTCTGAACTCACTGATGGGAATGCTGGTCTCTCCACAGAGACAAGCTTCTAATATGGCGTCATGGATGAAGATATATTGCTCCTTTAGTAGGAATGAAAAGAAATGAAGACTTGTTAAGAACATCGGAAATGCATCATTTGCATGTCACTTTTCAATCAAAAGATCAAAATGGCTCAAAGCAGACTTGAAATTCGCAGTTGGAACTGGGCTGGACAATCCTGAAACCAATTCTGATTGCAACGTGTTTCCTTCCCAAAAAATCATTTGGGACCATCCTAGAAGATCTCCAAGGCTTCTTTCAATCCTATGATTCGATGAACAGTATAAGAACAAGCAAACTGGAGATATAAGGCGTACTTCTCTTCTGACCATTGAATCCTCTTAATCATTAAAATGCCCTTTGGGAGGGGGTGTCTGTGTTTCAAAGCTGGACCACTATCCTAGTCCATTTTAAATAGAATGTTTATTTGGGAATAACATATCATGTGAACACGGCACTTGTTTTTTGTTAATCGGGACCATACCAGCTTCTTCTGCTTTTGAGACGTGGCTGATTAGGATATAGAGGCATTTATAGCAGTGACAGATTTTACATAGGATAAAAGATCCAAAATATCTCCAGATAAAATTGGGAACGGTCCTCATCAGAACTTATAAGTCCCTTGTCTAATTCAGTGTTTCTCAACCTTGGCAACTTTAAGATGTGTGGACTTTTAACTTCTCGAATTCACCAGCCTGGGAAATTCTGGGAGTTGAAGTCCACACGTTTTAAAATTGCTAAAGCTGAGAAACACAGGCTTAACGTGCTGTGCTGCTGATGTGCAAACTATTAAAAGCATTGTGCAAGATTTTCCCCTATGTGTGTTCTCTGGTTCTCTAGAAGATCAGCACAAAGCAACACCAGAGGTGATCGCCTGATAGCTGAATTGAACACCAAGTCATGAGGCCACTGTAGAGGTTTTGTATATAATTACTTGGATTGTGTGTATATATTTACTTCTCTTCTGCCATGTTCTCATCATACACTAAATAATAATAATAATTTATGTATGTATTTATTAATTAAAAATAAATAATGATAAAATAATAATAACTGGTCTAGCTATGTAGTAAAAATGCAATGCTACCTGAACTAAAATAGCAGCCAATATAAAGCAAATGAAAGATCTTGACAGGACAGAATTTTATTTCATTACTAGCCGATAACCCGATGTTGCCCAGGTATTTATAGGGGGAAATGTCTGGACCAAATGTAATTTCTAATGTTAGATTTTCCCCCTTACCAAAGGGAGCCCCCTTGTGGAGTACTGTGAACCCGTTACCATGTCAATTCCACTCCGCTGTACAGTAGAAGCCATTTTACGATAGTACAGTAGAAGCTATTTTAAGGCACAACAGGCTGTATCTTAACAGAACACACAACTCGAGGGGCATTAGGGGTGTCTAATCCCCACAGTATTTGTTTCCATCTGTGTACTAAATTTGGTTGAAATTGCTCGAGGCATTCCATAACATACACACGCACAGAGTGCCATTTTTTTTTTATGTACAGAAGATCTAGCTGCAATGCTCTTGTACCAAAATTCTACACAGTAAAACATTGTTCCCAAAATAATATGGAATCCAGTTGTTTTGATTGTGCCACAAAGGATCACATACCAACCACAAAGGAGTCTTTCAAACTTGCCCCAAAAGTGCTTCTTCCACAGACAAACTTACCTGGAACAATGCCCTTTACCCTACCCCATCCCGAAAAACTCACTTCAGTCTGAATCATGTTGATTCTCCGTGAGCACAGAGTCTTCACACAATTGTAAATGTCTACAACTCCTTCACACTCAGCCATATCCAGCATCACATCCAGGACAATGTAGCAACCTGTCCGTCCAGTGCCAGCGCTGCAGAGGTTTGAGGAAGCGTGAGAAAAAAAGAAATTGTCAGAACTGGGTATTAAATATGGGAAAGTTTCTATATTTGCTTCTGACTGCCAGCTGACTGCAATCGGCAGTTCAAATCTCACCAGGCTCAAGGTGGACTCAGCCTTCCATCCTTCCGAGGTGGGTAAAATGAGGACCCAGATTGTTGGGGGCAATAGGCTGACTCTCTAAACCACTTAGAGAGGGCTGTAAAGCCCTGTAAAGCAGTATATACACTATATTGCCAAAAGTATTCGCTCACCTGCCTTTACTTGCATATGAACTTACTGTAAGTGACATCCCATTCCTAATACATAGGGTTCAATATGATGTCAGTCCACCCTTTGCAGCTATAACAGCTTCAACTCTTCTAGGAAGGCTGTCCACAAGGTTCAGGGAATTATGGGAATTTTTGACCATGCTTCCAGAAGCGAATTTTGAAGTCACACACTGATGTTGGATGGGTTTACGTGGCCTACCACTTTGTGGCTGAGTTGCTGCCCTTCCCAAACACTTCCACGTCCTTATAATACAGCTGACAGTTGACTGTGGAATATTTAGGAGCGGGGAAATGTCACGACAGGATTTGTTGCACAGGTGGCATCCTATCACAGAATTCACTGAGCTCCTGAGAGCGACCCATCCTTTCACAAATGTTTGTCAAAACAGTCTGCATGCCTAGGTACTTGATTTTATACCCCTGTGGCCATGGAAGTGATTGGAACACCTGATTCTGATTATTTGGATGGGTGAGCGAATACCTTTGGCAATATAGTGCAAGTCTAAGTGCTATTGCTATAACAACTATTTCATCATTGGCCTCTTGTCATTCTATATGTGAACACCCCTCTTCCCATTGCATATATTTCCTGGAGCAAATTTGGAGAACTCTCCATTCAGTTGTTCTGCTCAGAGATTTATTGTGGAATTTCATTATTGATATGAGTATGAAGATTCAGCTCTAGGTTTTCCTATTGGGAAGACAAGAGCTGAAGATAGCTGGCTGCAGAGAATGAGGCTGCCACCCCTTATGTGGACCCTGTCCCTGATTAAGTATTGGAGTTGTCTCCTGTGCCACCTCAAATTGATGATTCGCTGCACCTCATAATGGATTTGGCCCCCTATGACCACCAGGTCCGGGGGCTACTGGGGTAGTGGCTTCAGGGTCAATTCGACCATGGGTTTCAAGAAGCTACTATGGAATACCAGATGTATCTTCCCTAGCAGTTGGGGCAATTTCAATTGCACCATGACTGGGTTGATGATCTTTACTATGGGGAATGGTCCCATACATTTTGGCCCAATGCTGATATTCTTCTCCCATTGCCTCTCCAGACAAGGAGCTGTCCAGCTGTAAAAATATCCTCAAGCCACTGAAATACCCTTGATCCTTGATTCTACAGTATGTGGTGATGAGCCCGACCAATATTTCTTTCTCCACACACAGCAAACAGAAGTTTTATCCCCCGCATAAAACAGCCTCAGGCTAGAACAGATCTTTGGCTTTTACGTATGGAACAAATCACATCTGTTAAGAGTTTTTTTTTTTAAAGAATCTGCTGCAAAGCTACTTAAAACCCCCTTGCTCTCTCTTAAAGGAAACTCACCTGTAGCATATGGTGACCCCAGTTTTTCTGGTTAGAAGCCCACCCCTCAAAGTCATTAGCAAAGTCCAACTGCAGCACAACAGAGCCCCTTCTGCCCTCCCCCCCCACACTTTCCAGGGTTGCTTTAAAACCCTCCAATATACTAATTTCTGGGGCTGATGAATCACTTGCTGTGATTCTCGGTGATTGCATGCTGAGGAAACTAATTATTCTCGTTGTCCCTGATGAATGAATACTGATGAAGCAATTGGACGCCAAAATAAAAAAGTGTCTGTGTTTCATACTGGGAGGAAATTCCCCTGCTTTCATTCATCGCTTCGTTCTTGTTATCTGGCCCAGAAAGCACCATGTAGCCAAATCATACACGGACGAAGCCCGGAGGAACATTTAGAAAGCAGAGATTCCACATTGTGCGTATGGTAGGAAGTGTTGCTCTGCAAGCAGATTTTGAAAAGCAGATGAGATGGTGTCCCTTGCCTTTTCTTGCCCCTAGCATTATTTATTTTCCTTTCTTCCTTCCTTCCTTCCTTCCTTCCTTCCTTCCTTCCTTCCTTCCTTCCTTCCTTCCCTTTGAATCAGTTTTGATTCATGGCGACTATCTGG